CATTCATCCTCAAAAAGAAGATCTGTTCTGAAGTACAGTACTGTCAGTGATAGGGTAATGTCCATAAACTTAAAAATAAGACCTTTTTTTAAAGATACAAATGTTAAGATTAACATTTTTAATGTTATAAGATTTTAATAAGATTAAGATACAAATGTTACTCAAATATACAGACTACCTACTAAAGCCAAAGATGAAGAAACTGAAGATTCCTACCGCCTACACTATGAAATTGGTCAAATATGCAATCAAGATGCATTTATAATAATTGGTGATTAGGATGTGAAAGTTGGAAACAAAGAAGAGAGATTGGTAGGTAAAAAATATGACCTCAGTGATAGAAATGAAGCCCAGTAGCCAGTGATGGATTTCTATATCATCAATCATTTATTTCTTTGTAATTTTTTTTAAAAACCCAATTAAATAGCAACTATACATTTAGACTTTACCAAACAAAATACACAGGAATCAAATTGACAGTGGAGAAAATCCGTTATCACTAGTCAGAACAAGGCCAAGGGCTGACAGTGGAATAAACCATTAGTTGTTGATATGCAAGTTCAGATTAAAGCTGAAGAAAATGAAAGTCCACAAGATCCAGAGTGTCACCTTGTGCATGTCGTTGTTGCATGTCATCGACTCCACTGTGACTCATAGCGACCTTATGTACAAAAGCCCTGAACTCTGGCCTATCCTGAGCCTGTCTCATAGTCTCCAAGTTGATTCTCCAGTCACTGAGTCAATCCATCTCATCCTGGCTCTTCTCTCCTGCTCTGTTCCTCCACCCTTCCAAGCATGATGTTGTTCTCCAAGGACTGTTCCCTCTTGACCTCGTGCCCAAAATATGTGAGACAGAGACTCAGAATCCTTACCTCCAGAGAACAGCTTGGTTTCACCCTCTCTAGGACAGACCTGTTTGTCCTCTAGGCAGAGTCCACGGTGTGTTCAGTACTCTTCTTTATATACACCTGAATTTAACCATCTCAAGAATAATTCTGAAGCATTTGCACACTAATGACCAGATCAAGGTAAGTGTGGAAGGCCATATCATGTATAAAGAGCAAATTAAGAAAGCAGGAAAGATGTTACTTTAAAGACTAAGGTACATCTGACCCAGTGTACCAAGCTGTAGTATTTTCAGTTGATTTATAAGCATGTGAAAGTTGGACGGAGAATAAGAAAGGCTGAAGAAGAAGGGGTGCCTTTGAATTTTGATGCTGGCAAAGATGATTGATTCTCACATGGACTGACACAAGAGTGAGCAAATCTATCTTAGAAGCCGTGCAGCCAGAGTGATCCTTACAAGGGAAGATGATGAAACACTCTTACAGACTTTAGACATATTGTCAGGAAAGGGTCATACCTGCAGAAGGAGAGCACGCTTGGAAGAACTGAGAGTCAGCTAGAGAAAGGAAGACCTTCAGTGTCATAACTGGCACACAGGACAATGGTTGCAGCTGTGAGCATGGACACAGCGTGGGTTGTGTGGATGTTGTGGGTCTCAGCAGGGTTGCAGCAGCTGCGAGTGTGGACACAGCGTGGGTTGTGTGGATGTTGTGGGCCCCAGCCAGGTTGCAGCAGCCATGAGTGTGGACACAGCGTGGGTTGTGTGGATGTTGTGGGCCTCAGCAGGGTTGCAGCAGCCATGAGTGTGGACACAGCGTGGGTTGTGTGTATGTTGTGGGCCTCTGCAGGGTTGCAGCAGCTGTGAGCATGGACACAGTGTGGGTTGTGTGGATGTTGTGGGCCTCAGCAGGGTTGCAGCAGCCGTGAGCGTGGACACAGCGTGGGTTGTGTGGATGTTGTGG